TGTGTGTGTGTGTGTGTGTGTGTGTGTGTGTGTGTGTGTGTGTGTGTGTGTGTGTGTGTGTGTGTGTGTGTGTGTGTGTGTGTGTGTGTGTGTGTGTGTGTGTGTGTGTGTGTGTGTGTGTGTGTGTGTGTGTGTGTGTGTGTGAGAACCTCTCATAATTATTAAGCGGCTTGACCGATTTTATCGCGGTCGGTGCCATTTGAAAAAGCTTGTCCAAACTTAGATTTCCAATACACTTTAGACCGATTCGGACCGGTAGATTTTGAGAAATCGCAAAAAAAATTTAAAAAGAAAACTTTTTCAAAAGTGGTTTTTTTGGAATAACTTTACACTGCTCTACCGATCAATTTCAAAAACTAATCAGCTCTTAACATCAAAAAACCACGTCGATCGCCGCCAGTCTGGTCAAAATCGGTTAATTCGTTCGTGAGTTATCGTTGACGAAAGAAAACCGAAAAAAGCGTTTTTTCGGAATTACTCCGAATTTTTCCGCTCTGTCAATATAAACTCAAAGATTTTTCATGAAGCTTAAAAAACTGCGTTGAATGCCACCAACCGCGTGAAAATTGGTTCATTCATTCAAAAGTTATTGCGATTTGAAAATTAAAAAAATAGTGTCTTATCAAACTTCTATCAAACTTTTGAGATCGAAGAGCTCAAAAGCATACAAAAGCTATTTTTTTGAGCTCGGAGAGCTCAGAATAATACACAAATTGTATTTATGAGCTCGAAGAGCTCTAAAACGTCATAATTGCAATTTCAAGCGTTTAGGTATAGAATTGGCGGGAAGTTGCAGGGATGGCCTTCAGGTCAACCGTATTCCTAATTTTTTTTTTATTTATTTATTTTTACTTTTTTATTATGCCCGCCCCGACCAGTAAAACCTCGGCTTCGCCGCGGCTTTGCAAAAGTCGAGCGGTGCCCCCCTAACCCTCGGCAAAACCCCTTCCACGGGGTTGCGTACTTTCGGCTGGAGAGCAAGAAAAATAGTATACAACCCACGACCCGAATGTTGGGTGCCCTGACGTATGTGATATGATAGCCTCGGCTACGCCTCGGCCATCATATCCCATACGCCAGGAAATCCAACTTTCTGGCCTTGTGTCGTAGTATACTATTTTTTGATTTCGATACCAAGAAATCTTGGTCATTTGGTGATTTACTAGTTTTCTGGTTTGTTGGCTTGGGAGAGCTAAGAACTTGTCAATTTTCTTCATGAGCAGTATCAATCTCAAAGAGCCTTGGAGAGTTAGGTTATAAATTTTTTTTGTTGCCAATGTCAAGTGCCAGAAGCGTTGAAGAATTAGAATATTGTAAATCGTCTTTATCTACAGTATCAAATGTAAGACCTGCTCGTACCTCTGTCATACAAACGCGATTTCTGGAATAGAATTGAGATGAAAGTTCAGAAAACAATTTTTTTTTGGTTTTCATTTTTTTTATATTTTTGAAACGGCTCGACCCATTGACTTTAAAATTTATGCAGATCAAAGTATCAATGAACTTTTTTAAACGCCCTGTCGATCATTTCGATCAATTAATTTCTTCTACAGATATCATACGACAAAATTTTGTTCACACACACACTTTGATTTTCAAAGCAGGAAGATAAAAAATTAGGATGTTGATTAGTCTTTAATTCATATTAACGGATGCAATTACCATCAAGCTTGAACTATTCCGTTACATAATCTAATTTTTTTTATCGGATTATAGTCAGAATTGAAATCCCATTGATTAAGGTTTAATACATTCATCAAGTTTTAAACTTTTCACTATGAAAATCAATAATTTTCAAGATATCGGTAAGTTACTGGTTTCAGCCCAGTTTTCGAAAATCAATTTTTCATCAGATC